GAGAGAGAGAGAGAGAGAGGGAGAGAGGGAGAGAGAGGAGAGAGAGGAGAGAAAGCTAGCTCTGTTGCCCAATTGGCAAGTTCTAGTTGGGTCCCCAGTGGAGCAGCTTCTACTACTTATAGAGGTTGTTGTTTGTCCTTCATTCTCAAAAAGTACCAAGACATCAGGGAGTTGATGCCATGGCATGCACCTGAATTGGATTTAAGCGAGGGAAGGCTGTGCAAGATCACCAGCCCCATTTTCTCCTCCACAGCCATCCAGGTTCAGTGGCAAGATACAGATCAGGACAACTGGAGATGGCCCTCTTCGCTGAAATAAGTCTCTGTAGGGAGATTATTTTCATCCTGGGCTCTGGGTGAGGTAAAGAAAGCCCTGAACTTGAGTTCCTCAGTAAATCTAACCTGGGGAAGTGTCCACACTACCAAGCTGAGAACCCTGGTGGTGTGGGGCCTACCTGGGGGTGAGCATAGAAAGACATCCAGAACTGTCCCTGAACTAAGAGTTTTTAACTTGGCCTGTCCAGATATGTTTCATGTGCTTCCCTGCAGGGTCAACTTCCCACAGCTTATAGAATCCAGTCCAAAGACTCTAGCAGCTCAAATCCCTTCACAATCTGGCTCCAATCAGTTTCTCCAGATTGGGCTCTTATGTTCAAGCTGGGCCAGTCTCCTTCTTATGCTCCTAATACTCTTGGTACTTTCCTAGCTTCATCCCTGGATACTTTCGTTTCTGGGACCCTCTTTTCTTCCCTCCTATCTACCTTTGCAAATCCTCCCATTCTTCAAGACCCAGCTCACATCCTATGTTTTCCATAAAGACCAATTAGTCTAGTCCACAGTAATTAATAAGATTATGGTCCTTTGAGATGGAAAGCATCTTAGTGATGATCTAGTCCAAAGCCTTCATTTGACAGGCAAGCCTTCTTTCAACAAGTATTTATGGAATGCCTCCTATGTGTAAGGCAGTGCTCTAGGCACTGGGGAGGGAGGAGAAAGATAAAGATGAAAAAGATAACTGGATTATAAACTACAGAATTGGGGCTGTGTTTTGCCTTTGTTTCCACTTATACATAATAGCTGCTTAATAAGTATTTTTAAGATTCTTTGTTGATAGAGATATAGTTACTGATTTCAAGAAGCTTGAATAGAAAGGCAGTATGGTATAATAAGGGATAAGATCCTCCCTAATCAAGTCCCTTTACCTCTGTAGTCCTTGGTTTTGTCATTTATAAAATGAGGGGGCTGGATTTGATGGTTTCCTGGGTCCTTTGGGGGGATTGGCAACTAGGTGGCACAGTGGAGTCAGGAAAACTTATCTTCCCAAGTTCAAATCTGGCCTCAGATACTTATTAGCTGTGTGACTTTGGGCAAGTCACTTAATCCTGTTGGCCTCAGTTTCCTCATCTGTAAAATGAGCTGGAAAAAGAAATGGCAAACCTCTCCAGTTATCTCTGCTAAGAAAACCTCAAATGGGGCATAAAGAGTTAGACATAACTGTAAAACAGCGCAACAAGGTCCTTTCCAGGTGTAATTCTATGAGTAGCTTGACCTTGACTTCAAGGAGTAGGAGTGGCTCTCTCCCTTCTCAGAGCTTCCTAGAGCATTCATTGTTCTACTTCCTGAGGTCTTAGAATGGACAACCTGGTTATGTTTTCCTGGGGATCTCCTCTCCCTAGCTAGCTTGAGGGCACGGATGATGGTTTCTATTTCTTAGCATCTATACCATCCTTTGTATTTATCCGACCCTAGATATATGCAGTGTGCACCTTCCTGTCTATAAAATGAGGGTAAAAGACTTGCCAAGAGCTATAGAGTTAGTAGCTGAGTTGGGACTAGAATCCAGGCATCCAGAGACCTTCATCTGGGAAGTCCCCCCTCAGGATGATACTCTGGACTTGATGGTGAAGTGCAGAAAACATTGGATTGTGACCTGGGTTGTGGCTATGCATTTGTCCTGTAATTCTTCCATTAAACTTATTTTTAAAAATAAAATTTTTTGATGTATTTTGGTCACCATAGTTTCCCTTATTATTCTCTCCATCTCTTCCCAGAGAATAATCCTACATAACAAACAGCATTTTTCTAGAGACAAAAAAAAAAGAAAGAAAGAAAAAAAAGGGGTGGTGGTGGTGAAGGTACTTCATGTACAAGAAAACAAAGTAGAGTGTGACAAAAGGGAAAAAAAAGATCCAGAAAAAGTGGTCTAGGAAAATTTGAGACCTAAGTGAGCTGGTAGGAGCCAAGGGAGGGAAAAGGTAGCATGAGGGAAGCCTTCATCCTAAGAGAAGGTCAACATTAAAGGAAGAGAAGAATTCTGAAAAGTGAAGATGAGAGTGTGTTCCAGGCCCTAGCGTGATGGTAAATGTTTTAACATCTGGCTCTCCCTACCAAAAAGAAAATTGTATGCAGGAAACACTTTAAGTTTAATCCAAATTATTAACATTTATCCATCACTTTCTTAAGTCTAAACAATCAACAAAACAGTAAATCAAGCTATGATTTCTAGCATTTGCTGGTTTCACCGGTATAAATGCTCACACTGAAAATTTAACAATCAGCTCTCCCGAGCCAGCTTGAACTGGCCCCAGCACACCCCTCGTTCCAAGTATTGGTAGGCTGCTTGCACAGAGAATTTTCCTGATAGGAAAATCTAGATTAACTAGAATACTTAAGAAATAGGCTGTACTGAGCAGTTGAATTTTCTCCATTACTGGGAATTAAGCCACTTGTTTCTACCCTTGTTGAAAATTTTGCTAGTGCGTGTGTGTGTGTGTGTGTGTGTGTGTGTGTGTGTGTGTGTGGTCTACTTTTCACGATGCTAGGGCTAGCAAAAGAAATTTTTCTTTGGTGACCTTGAATCTCTCAGAGACTCTGGGACACCATTTTGAGACAACAGAAAGGGCCCTGGGAGGGATTTCAGTCTCAGTTCTGCTCCTTGATTATGTGACCTTAAGCAAGTGCCTCTGAGCCTCAGTCTCTAGGCTTGCCAATAGTGGGAAGGTGGTCATTAGCATCATTATAGTATAGGAAGGGTAGGACTTTGGGATACTAATACTTAGTATTATACTAATACTTAGTAATATCTGTATTGAAGACAAACACATTTGCATGAAAGTTGAGGGTTGGATTCTAAGTGGGGCAGGACCTGGGAGGCCAGAAAGGTGGACAGGGATCTCATCTAATCAATCCCAGCTAGAAATTCAAGCACCTGAGAAAAAAAACCCTTCTTGTTTTTCTCTCTTTAGGAGATAAGCTTTAGCTGGGAAGCTGGGCTGGGTGTTTAGCTTTGCCCTCTGAAGGGTGTTTGCAGGCTTGAGAGGGAAGACCAGATAGAGAGAATCTAGTCCAGGAAGGACAGACAAGTTATGAGTTTCGTTAGGCTATAAAATCCCTAACAGTTGAATTGCAGGAGACCTAGGGCAACTGGCCTGGCTCTATTGGGAACAGAGTGCTCAGGGGTTTTGTCCCAGGCAAGGAGGGTAGATGACAATCAGAGAGCAGGCTTCTTTCCTCATGTTGGTCTTTCACCCAGCTAGCCCTATGGCACAAGGCATTACTGCCACTCCTTTGCTGATCTCCTGCCTTCTTCTTCCTCTGCTGCACATCCCATCCTAAGCCCTTCCTGGGGGTTGGACAGTCAGGGATTATCGACCATCAGCCTCTGAGGGACAGGCTGCCCTCCCTACCAGCATGACCCAACCAGGGCAAAGGGTTCCCATCACCACCACCACCCTACCCCACCACCAACAACTGAATTTGGCCCAGGGCCAGAATTTCCCATTAAAGCTCTGGCTCTGACTTCATAATTCCCTGTCTCACCTATTAATCTAGGCCATCCATCCATCAGGGAATGGAGGAGTATTATTGTGTGGTAAGAAATAATGAGGATGAGGAATTCAGAGAAACAACTTGTATGAACTGAAATGGAGCCAGGATGACTTTGTACACAATGAATACAATGATGTTAATGAAAAGACTGCTAAAAGGAAGCTGAGCTCTAAGGAGCTAGAGAAAAATGAATGCGACATACCTCCCTCTTCTTAGCAGAGATCTAGAGTGTTCTCGGTATCTGGTATTTTTGTTTAATTGTTTTTCCTGGTTACAAAGGAAAGTTCAATGTGTGTAAAGTGTTGGGGGTGGGAAGAGGGAGTGCTCATGGTACACACAGAAGAATTTTACACCTGGGTTTGCTTCCTCTGACACTGTATGACCCTGGGCAAGCTGTTTAACCTATCTCAGCCTCAAGTCTGGTTACAGTAGATATCAAGAACCCGAAAGGGGGCCTGGGGCTGGGGGCGGGTGGGATTGGCTCCAACTCTGGAATTCAAGCACCTGAGTTCAAATCTTGTCTCTGCTATTTACTACCTTTGTGGCTTTGAGCAGATCACTTCTCTGAGCCTCAGTTTCCTCATCTGTAAAATGAGGGGATTGAACTAGATGAGCTCTGAGTTCCCTTCCTGTTCTATATCCTACTGTGTACAGCCAGACACTATGCCTAGGCAGTACGAAAAGAAATACAAAACATAGACAGTCCTTTCCTTCCAGGATTCAGATCTTGCCATTGACTCACTATATGAATATTGAAAAATGGGAATAACCATAGCACCTCCTGTGTAGGGTGGTTGTGAGTGTGAGATAGTGCACGTAAAACCCTTTGTAAAGAAAGGTTTAAGTTCTGTATTTGAGTTGTTATTATTAAAAACAAAAAACATCAATGAGACATTTTTAATGTTTAAAGAAAAAAGCAACTGGGTCAGGCCAACTTCACCCAACCCTACGGATTCATTTAAACAGCGTGGTATGCACGTCTATCCTCCTTCTCTTACCCTCTCAAGCCTCTATGTAACACGAGATAATATTGTCTGAATCAAATCAGGAGCTACCCCAGGACTCTTATTCCCCAGGAAGGATTTGGAAACCTAGTGGGTTCATATCAGGAGGGAGTGACCAGAAGTCTTTGATCTTCTAGCTCATCGTCTCCCTCTCCTTTATCTCCTCTAGATGGAATTCAATATGGAGACAATCACTTTAATACAGTGAGTGAGTCAGGAACTGCCACCCTCAAGCCTCGGCCAAGAGTCCGCCCCCTATTAACCTTCTTACCCCTGGTGAGTATGGAGTTCCAGCCTGTTGGAGTGTGGGCTGGCAGAGGGAGGCACCAGGCCTGCCGGCCTGAGGCTGAGGGGGTGGGAGCCACGTGGCTGCCATGGTAGGCCCCTCCTCCCCTTGACTCATGTGAGGTCATCTTTGTCCTTGGTGCCATTACCAGAGAAGGACAGCAGTCACTAACCATCAAGAAGTAGGCAACTTGCTATCTGGACTTCTGGGTGAAGTCAGGTCAAGTCGACAAAACATTTGTTAAGCACCTACTATGTGCTGGATGGCAAAGTGAATAGAATGCTGGGCCTGGAGTCAGGAAGACTTATCTTCTTGAGTTCAAATCTGACCTCAGGCATTTACTATCTGTGTGACCCTGGGCAAGTCACTTTACCCTGTTTGCTTTCATTCCTCATTTGTAAAATGAGCTGGAGAAGGAAATGGTAAACCACTCCAGTATCTCTGCCAAGAAAACCCCAAATGGGGTCACGAAGAGTCAGACGTGACTGAAAAATGAAAACAACAACCAAAATAAAATGTGCCAGGCACTGGGCTAAGCTCCAAGCACACAAAGAAAGGCAAAAACAAAGCAAAACAAAAATCCCATGGTGTTGAGACAAGTGCTAGGGGGTCAGGATGGAGGGAGAGTTTGAGATGTCCACAGGAAATGGGGATAGATAGTGGGAACCGTGAGCACCATGATAGAAAACAGATATTTTGTGAGCTTGGGTTTACATTAAATCAATCACTTCTAGAGACTATGAAAGGCTTTCTTATTTTGTTTTTCGTTCTTTCAATATATTTGAAAGATGCACTTTACCCTTATTCCTTCACTGCTGCACTCCAGCCAAAAACAGTCACCACTAGATAATATCTATTTTAATTTTCAGCTGAAGTCCTACCTCTTCTGTCTTGAATTTTTCCATATATATATCTACATCTATATAGATATGTATGTAGATATATAGATATATAGATATCTATAGATCTTATCTCCCCATGTATTATATATGTATAAATAAACATATACATATATGTGTGTATATATGTATATATACATATATATACATACACACTCTTCAGTTCTTGGAGAGCAGGAACTATGCCTTTTTTTTTTTTTTTTTTACCCCCTGGGCACATTAGATTAATGCATTTTGGATGATTGTCAATCAGTAAGCATTTAAGTACCTAACGTGTGCCAAGCACTGTACTAAGAGCTAGGGATTCAAAGAGGCAAAAGACAGTCCCTGCCCTTAAGGAGCTCACGATCTAACAAGGGAAACGACATGCAAAAAAAAATGTACAAACAAGCTATGTACAGGATAAATAAGAAATAATCAACAGAGGGATGGCACTAGAATTAAGAGAGATTGGGATAGGTTTCCTGTAAAAGGTGGGATTTTTAGCTGGGAAATGAAGGAAGCCAGAGAAGCCATGAAGAGATGAAGAGAGAAAGCAGCCCAAGCAAGGGGGGCAGCCAGAGAAATTGCTCAGAGCTAGAGAAGAAGCCTGGATTGTGAAGGCATTTGGATTTTTGGTGGCAAGGAGAAGTGATTTGGAGAATTGATTTTTGCATCCCTGATGGTGGTGGGGGTCACTTCCCAGGGTGGGTGAGGTCCTACTAGATACGTTGACTACTAGTATTGATCCTGAAAGACTTGGGAGAGAGCTGATTCCTGCCTTCCCAGCTCAACCATCCATTTGGGTTTAACCCAAGTCAGTGGTTGTATGTAGTTGATGGGTGACTCACTCTTGTGAGGCTATAGACAGAACTCCCAGAAGAGAGTAGTGCTTAACCTAGTTTGCAGGTCAAGTTTAGAGTCCTAAAGCGCTGACTCCTTACTGGAAAAAATGCTTCTTTATGGCTGTGCCCATTGTTGGGAGACTGAATCCTCCTTAAGGATAGGGGTACCATGAGCAAATTCTACTGTGCACCCTTCCAACATTCTCCTCCCAAATTTTTGCCCAGGTAACAAATCTGATCACTACACTATACATCAAGGGCCCTTTTGAAGGGTCACAAAGAAGACGGGAAGGAAAAGAGGAAACGGGGTGTTGGAGCACTGGCTTTGGAGTCAAAGGATCTGAGTTCAAATCCTGCCTCTGACAAGACCTGTAGGATATTGGGAAACTCAGCCTCCCTGAGGCATAGTTTCGCCATCTGTAAAAATGACAGAATTAGATTAGAGGGCCTCTGAAGTGCCTTCTGCCTCTGGATCTATGATTCTGTGTGTAACATAGGCGGCATGTTCACTGTCAGCCCCAATCTCATAGTGATAAAGGAAGTATATGGGATGACTATATATAAACCTCAGGTTGTTGTTTTTTTTTTCCTAAGCAACTTGTGAGAGCATCTCTTTCTTCCTTTTGTGACTCCCTACTCAGCTATGTGGTCCCCTAAGCAGTGAAAACCCATCATCTCTTTCCCTGTCCATAGATCCAGCATACGCTAAGAACACTTCTGCTGTCTGGGTTACAGAGGGGCCCTGGGTTAAACTGAGGGGTTTGGACTAGATGAATTCTGTTGTCCCTATCAAATCCCTTCTCATCACCCTACCCAGGTAATGGGACAGTGAGGAGGGCAGCCACACACACACAGACACACACACTCACACACACACACACACACACACGTCCCTGTCAAGTCACGTTAGTCTTCTTTCATTGCCCTGGGCAGGGGACGGGTAGAATAACTGGACTGATGCCCAGGGCCCTGCTTACTTGCTCACTTGGAAGTTGATATCAAGTTGGTCGTGCCAGTCATGCAGCATGGTTCTCACACTCACTAGAAACCTCCTCCAGGCTTCTCTGGCATGGGGTGGGAGGGGAGAAGAAAAGAGAGGGCCATGTCCAAGGTATAAAAGGAGGGAAAAGGGGCAGGGTTGCTACCAAGAATATTTGGGGTGATTGGTATGTTGGGGTAAGTGGGAAGAAAAATCTCTTTCACTGGGGACTGTCCCTTTCCCCTTCTCTGGATACTCCTCCAGTTATAGGGCAGCTCTCTTTCTGACAAGGAGGAGAAAGAGGGACGGAATGAGCTTTGGAGGAAGGATGAGCCTGGCAATAGGGAGAAGATGGGAACCAGCTCTCTTGCACCTCCCCCCTAAAGTTTTGGGGTTTTTTCCATTTGAAGTGGGGACAAGAGGAGAAAGAACCATGTTGCCAAGAGTAGCCATGGAAAACTTGTTCCTCAACCAGCTTTAGCCAAGGGACTGAGAGGATCTATGTTAAGTTAGAGATATTTTAGCAACTGAGATGGTTCTCAGAGCAGCAGCTAGGGGGCACAGTGAATAGAGTGCCAGGGATCAGATCTGACCCAAACACTTATTAGCTTTGTAACCTGGGGCAAGTCACTTAACCCTGTTTGCCTCAGTGTCCTCATCTGTAAAAGGAGCTGGAGAAGGAAATAGCAAACTACTCCAGTACCTCTGCTAAGAAATTGCCAAATGGGGTCACAAGTCACTTAACCCTGTTTGCCTCACTTCCTCATCTGTAAAAGGAACAGGAGAAGGAAATGGCAAACCACTCCAGTATCTTTGCTAAGAAAATCCTAAATGGAGTCACTAGTCAAAGAAAGATCTAAGTTTAAATGTCTCAGATACTTCTTACCTGTGTGTCCCTGGGAAAGTCATGTAACCCTGTCTGCCTTAGTTTTCTCATCTGTAAAATGATCCAGAGAAGGAAATGGCAAAACACTTAAGTATCTTTGCTAAGAAAACCCCAAATGAGGTCACAGAGAGCTGGGCATGACTAAAGTGATTGGACAACAATAAAAATGTTTCTGAGAACTCCTTTGCAGGTCATATCTGTATGACTTTGGGCAAGTCACTTCTCTCTGAGTTTCATTTTCCTCATCTGTAAAACGAAGATCATCTGACCTCTAACTTTAAGTCTCTGATCCTATGAACTTCAAGGCGAGAAGCCTAGAATTCATTGTACCTTATTATGCCCCACCCTCTACTTTGGAGCTTCCTGGTAAAAATAGAGGAAGTGTTACTGGGATTGAACTAACACATTGGAGATGAGTTTGTACTTTTGCCTATCAGGGGCTCTCCCTTGACCTCTCCAGATCCAAATCAAACCACCCACAAATGAGGTATAGGCAGGGAATTAAACATTTAATACCAATGTGATATAAGGAACTGGCCAGACAGGTCCTTGGTGCCTGGGGCAGCGAGAGCACTTCAGTCACCCCACCCTTTCTGAGTCAGGCTAGAATATAGTTGGGGAGGGGGTGTTCTGGGCTCTGTCCTGAAGGCGTCATTCTGATCACCCCATACACCCTCTGGACCATTATCTCTACTTAATGGGGAGACCAAAATCAGATGAAGCCCCACTGCACTCAGCTATGTGTTTTCTTAATAGATTTTTATTCAGTCTTTCATTTTTGCAGCACCTAGATTTCCCCCTGAGCCATCTCTTATAACAAAGAATTTTTAAAAAGAAGAAAAAAGAAGTAGAGGAAGAAGAGAAAAAAATTAGCAAAACCTATCAATCTATCAAAAAGATCTAATGTCATATGCATTGTTCTACCACTATCTTGATTCCCCCCAAGTCCTGTCCCTGCCTTCTGGGGAAGAGTGGGAAGAGATGTCCTTTTGTATTTCTTCTTTGGGACTAAGCTTACTTCACATATAGAGCTTACCCAGGCTCAGTTGGAGTTTGGGTAGAGGAGATGGGTGGCAGTCTTGATTTTGGCTGGTAATGTAGCTGATATGATCTGATGTGAGAGAAAAGTGAGGGAACCCTAGGGTAAGGCACTACTTTTGCTGGGAGGGAGTGATCTACTCCTGAGTCCACCTCCCCAGATAGGCAGCTGTTTCCTGGGGTGCTGGCTCTATAAGAGAGAAATTATATCCAGGGTTGTACTGGTAAATGTTTAACAACCAGTTCTTTGGGTGGAAAAAAAAAAGTAAGCATAATACACTTTTAAGTCTAATCTGTATATTAACATTTTCTCCATCACTTTCTTAAGTCTAGAATGGCAATAAAACAAATCAAGCCTTAATTT